TATGCATGGCGTGTGGTTTTATTCCTAAAGACACAGTGAACAATGGAGATTCTCTGCTCCATGCAATGATCTCGAATGTTATGGATGAGTATAATTTCATTAATTATATCTCATATTTTATTTTAACATCATTTATATCAATTACATTTTTTAAAATTATTTTTATATTTAAAGATACAATGATATTTTTTTATTTTTATCACTTAAAATAGTTTTTTTTTTTAATTTATCAAACTTATCATATCTTTTATAAAATTTTGTCTCATTTTTCTTTTCATAATTTTTCATCTAATTCAAACAAACAATTTCACTTTTAAATTTCTTTTTCCTCACGTTCACTCAAATCCATTTTTTTCAAAATGTAAAACAAAAATATATAATAAAAATAATAAACATATCCTAAATAATAATTCATTATTAAATAAGTAATATGTGGGCGTATTTTTATTTATATAAGAAGGGAATGAAAAAATTATTGTTTTAGGCCTTAGGTTGTGAAGTTAGACGTTGTAGAAAGTGCAGAAAACGAAAGAGAATCGAAAGCATGGAAATGGCGAGAGCATCGTTTTGAATTGGGGAAGGAGAAGAATGCAGAGATCTGAAATGGAGAAGGAGTTTCTGCCATTAGATGTTATGATAAACATTCTGAAGAGGGTTCCGGTGAAATCCCTAATCAGATTCAAATGCGTCTCAAAAGGGTGGTTAAAGATCTTAGAAAGAAGCCCTTTCTTCACCAAACAGCAGCTGGAACACTCCGCCGCCAACAACGCCCTTCTCCTCCTCCAACGCATCCATCGACAGCCGCGACCCGAACCCTTCTCCACCTGCATCATCGGACCCCACCACGACCTCATCCACGAATCCCATCTCTCCCACATCGTTTCCCCCACCGCCAAGATCCTCGCATCCTGCAACGGCCTCCTCTGCCTCCGCCACAACACCGCCCTCTCCATCCTCAACCCGGCCACCCGTCAAATCAGACAGGTTCCCATCGCAAACCTTTTGGCCTTCAACTACGTCGGATTCGGGTTCAGCCCCCTCGCCGACGATTACAAGATCGTCCGAATCTCCATGTGCGTCTTCGCCCCGGACGACCAGGTGGTCGTTCTCGACAACGTTAGGGTTGATCGGGTCGAGGTCTATTCGTTAGCCTCCGGCTCCTGGAGGGAAATCGACGCCGCCAAGTTACAACCTTTGTGTATCGTCTCTAGTTCCGTGGCCATCACTGGAACTATATTTTGGCTTGCCACCATGACTTCTGCTTCTAACACCGATTCTGAATTTGTGGTGTCATTTGACGTCGGCAGGGATTTGTTTACTTTGGTGAATGGCCCTCCGATTCCACATTCGCCCTCTCATCCCCACAACAACAACGTTCTTGCGGTTTGCAACGATAAACTAGCCATGTTTCGGCACTACATTGTTGGGGCCTTTGAGTCTTGTTCGTTTGATTTGTGGGTGTTGGAAGATTTTCATGGTCATTATGATAATAATACATGCGATGTTTCTGCGGAGAGTTGGGTGAAGATGTACAGTGTGGGGCCATTTTCGAGGATTGTGTATCCTTTAAGCCTTTGGGGAGATGAAATTGTGTGCCGGGAAGAGTTGTCTGGACAGGAGAACGATTTGAGAACAGTTGAAACTGTTTTGGCTCTCTTCAATCCTCTGAGTAAGCAACTCAAGAAACTCCCTTCTCATAGAGACGAGTTTTTCTATGTTCCCTTCACCTATTCTGAGAGTCTTGTTCCAGTTTCAAACCTTCTTCACCATTAACAGTAATGTACATCTTTCATTTCGGTCTTTC